ACATGATTAGGAATACCCTTTGGTAATTGAGCTTCTTTTTGCTGCCTAATTCGATGACAATTCCAGACTGTTTCAATGAACACATTCATTTCTTTCTGGATTATGGGAATATAGACAAAACCAAAAGGTCTCTGCAATATTGAAATGAAGATTATTATAAGCACAATAGATGTAATTTAACAGTTTCTACTCTTTAGAGAAATATAATACAAGAATAAATACCATTATTTATTCTTGTATTTATTCTTGGGTCCAGCACCATCTGGTGGGGGAAAGGGAGAGGGGGGGGTGCTCATCATTCCTCAGTCATGGTTAGGGTCAAACAGTTGATCAAGTACATACTAGGCACCTAGAGGTTACTCATAGCAGTTTTTTGTAGAATGTGTGAAACACTGCCTCTTGGAAGGTTCAGGGGCATTACTGTGGTAAGGGAGCACTCCCCCTAGTTGACCATCAATGATAAATAACAATATATCAGCAAAAATTAATTACCTGTCAAGGGGGTCATTAGGGTCATAAAAACCTTGAAGCAATAATCTTGATAACTGCTGCTTAAAAAATTTTTCCATGCGTTCATGAAGCTCCCTCCACCATCTCTCAATCTACATTGTATACAGATTAAAAACTAATTTTTTTATTTTGCTTAACACAGCATTATTTTAATAGCCTGGAACCCTATAACTTATATAGTATGTGATGCTTCAAGCAAAGCATTGTAAGTTACTGTAGACCCTTTATTATACATAGCAAGTAAATAACTTATTATAAGTGTTCATTAGTGTAAATACAGTACTTTATTAGTTGTTGAAGGGCCATATTGTATGGTGTCTTCAGCATTCTCAACATCACCATGACCATTTCTAATAAAAGCATGGATTGTTGCCATATCTCCAGTTTCCGTGCCTTTATCAAGTCTCAATCGTGAGCTAATCACTGAAATATAGATAGAAAAGGTAGTTTACTTAAATTAATAGATAATCATGTTTCACAAGTCTAATGATTAACGTGCTGAGTCCCACCACTTTCCTCTTGGGAAGTAAAATCGTCTGGCATTAGGACAAAATAATCTGGGTTAAAACAGGATAATGTTGATGAGCAAACCGGGACTGGGCAAAAATTTTTAAAGTAATTATGTCTGGAGGATCAAACTTTCAAAGAACAAGGGAAATGTGAAATTCACTGTCTGGACATATAACAATTTATGTCACCTTTACACTTGGTCAAGTGTTCCAAGTATCACCTCCCAATCAATTTAGGATTCGAGTTTGAAATCCATAACTTCAAGTACATAATCTTTCCACTGAAAACATCTTGCAAACCATAAATAGCAAGTGGGAAAGTATCCCTGATAAAGCCCATCATTTTGTCATGCCCATCAGCAGAGTGTGTGTGGTTTGAGCCCTAAAATAAATTGTATCATATGATTCAAATTAAAGGCTGTTCATAGACAATAGGGTTCCAGTAGGGTAAACATGACAAACATCTATCCTAGATTCCTAGTTACTCTATGAACCTTTCTTACACACTACTTACCAATGAAGTAAACGTTCCAGTCGGACCCCTTCTTTTTTAGTCATTCCAAATTTTCTGCCGGCGCCTTAAGCCGTCTGGATCCTCATCTGTCATAACGTCATACACCAAACTGTGGGGCACCGCAAGATTATGCTCTTCTCGTATCTTCTTTTGCATTGACCGATATCCCAGAAGCTGTCCAGGTCCAGCATTTTCTTTTCTAAAAGCATCTTTGACTTCTTCAACTGAAATATCATAATCTACATACTTTATTCTAAAGTGACTCATTCGTCTGCTCAAAGTAGGTAGACTCCACGAATACTGCGGATAATCCCTTTGAATGAAATCAAGTACTTCTTTTCCCTGTAAATTCTGCAGAACATATCGTTGCAAATCTTCGCGCAGCTCTTCATCCTCTTCCCAGTCAGAATTTCGAATTCTACTCATAATTATATGACGCTATATAGGCAAATATCCAAGTTAAAATTGTGTAAATTTTGAAAAAACAAGCCAATCTCGCGGCTTGCCTTAGTTCCCTTCCCGCGTCGCGTACCCGTGTGCATCATGGTCTATGATAACGCTGGGCTGCTTCCAAACATTTCATTTTCAATTTGAAAATGCATTTCACTTTTTTTACTTTTAGCATTTTATTTTTTTTTATTTTTATTTCTTTGTTTTACATTTTTTTCTTTAATTTTTTTTTCTTTATTAAATTAAAGTTCTAATTAATTTTCATTTGGATATTAATATAAATTTTTTTGTAAAAGTTTTGGTTTTTTAAAATTTTTCACACTTTTATATTTATTTTTATGTTTAAATTACTATGATAACAATGGGCCACCATACTGAGGTTGAGTCTGTCCAATATGTCACCTGGTCAATGGGAATTTCTAATTCTTCTCAAATCATCTTGCTCAATCTAACGGAGATTACCGCAGCTGTAAATTCCAAGCGAGGGATCGTTATCTCGTGAATGGGCGCTACACGAGCTCTTCCAACTATAAATGAGATGTGAACGTTATCATTTATATCTATGACGCGCAAGTAAGCAACTGCACCATAACCCACACGTGAACCGTCTGAGAAGAGATGCAATTGTGCTTCCTTGATATTCCCCCCTTCATTTGGCTTGAAACATTGTTTAATTCTGATCTCTTCTAGATGCAATAGATCCTTTATCCAGCGTTGCAAATGCTTCTTCTCTTCCTCTCCGATGATTTCATCCCAATCCAACCTTTACCAACAAATGGTTTGCAATAGCAACTTTGCTTTCATTACATAGGGTGCTATGAAGCCTAACGGATCAAAAAGGGAACATACAATCGATAACATGTTTCTTCTCATCATCGACATTTGGTTTGCCTTTGTTATTCTTTGCCATGCTATTCTTTGCCCGCCACACGAATCAGTCGTTTTCCACATTCCACTAGAGACCAAGTGTTGATTCCGTTGGAAGGTCCTCGAGTTCCAAATTAACCATTGACTGGGCTCTTTCTTTCTCGGGAATTTGTGAAAGCACCTTCCGATCGTTATTAATCCACCTCGTCAATCTAAAGCTGCCTTTCTTCATTGTTCCATTAACTGCGTTGCCAGCCTGATAGCAGACTCCGTATTAGAAACCAATTTCATTAGATCATCAACGTACATATTTTGTTCGATTGTTTTTACAGTTTCCGCATCATATTCTTCCTGATTCTCGCATACCGCCTTCCTCACACATAGATTAGCGATGTAGGGTGACGATGCCCCAAACACTTGCCTTACCATTCGATATTCCTTTGGCTCTTCCTTGATATTTCCACTCTCCCACCAGAGGAAATGAAGTGCGTCACAATCCTTTGGGTCTACTCCGATCTGGTGGAACATAGATTCTATATCTGCTACTAATGCGACGCGTTCCTCCCGAAATCTTATTAACACACCGACCAAGGAATTTGCCATATCGGGACCTTGTAATAACTGTTGATTCAATGATGTTCCTTTATATTGGCACAGTCAAAAACCACTCTCACTTTCTCTGGCTTCATGGGTGCACAACAGGATGGTGAGGCAAATACCAAACCAGACTATTAACAGGTATAAATTCTTCTAGTGGGATTCTTTCGGCATAACCTTTAGCCATGTAATCTTCCATCGTTGTAGTGTACTTTTCCAGGAGTTCACCATCCTTCCCTAATCAGTTCTTCAACGAATAAAGCCTTCTCTCGACCATCTGCTTGTTGTTTGGCAGATTAGGCGAACCCCCCTGCCATGGCAAAGCAGTTTGATCATGACCATCTTTCATCATCAATGATCTTTCTATTAGACTTAAAGCCCTTTGATCCTCCACTGATGCTTCCACTTTGATATCCGCTGACTTATCTCCGAAATTAGTGTTCCAAGGCCTTTCGAGCTGTTGAGTTAAGATTTGATTACTATTTCGTTGGACCTCTTCAAGTGCCCCCCAGTTGTTCCATTGTTCGGGTTCCATGTACGCCTGCCCACCGCAGCCTTTCATCAGACGCTCTTCTCCTTGAAGCTTAATCGTACCAATCGAACTACGGATCTTCTTTCTGCTCACCGACTGAGCCCATTACCATCCATCCGAGACAATATTTGATTGCTACAGGATCTGTCTCTCCTCCCACCTTGGAATCCAATGGTAAAAACAGATTTGGGTGCTCCTTAAACCTATCAATAGCATTACCTTTCCATTCTCAATTTCTGGTATGCATAAATCACAGAGATGGAACCACTTGCTGAGATCCTCTCGCCTTGCAACACAGCTTGTTTATATAGGCATCTCTTTCACCCTCTTAACATCCCAGAACTCGACTGTAAAGGCTTCATCTATTGATTTCACCACGATATTCACCATTTGACCTTCCACTTTGCTGCTTCCGGTCATACCTGTCAACGTACAGCTTATTTTGTCCCTGAATAAATCGAGCTCTTTCGCTAATTGTTCATGGCATAGAGTCACCTCTGAACCGTTATCCATTAGAGCGTATGTATTCACAACCTTATCTCCATTTGTTGTTGACACTTTGACAGGAATAACTCCCAAACACACCTTGCTTTCACTGCCTTCCCTCGTCGTTGCTGTTAACTCGCCAGTCTTGTCGCCGACCCCAGTTTGACCATCTCCCTTCTTCGCTTTCTCATCTTGCCGAGCGTTGTCTTCTGTTTAATTATCTCCTTCTTTGTAATTCTCCTTTTGGTTTTTACCAGCGAGAGATGACTTGTCTTCTTCGTGCATTAAGGTGTGATGCTTGCCATTACATTTATCAACGAGGCACCTAAATCTTGTTTTTGGGCAGTTTTTAGCTATATGTTCTCTATCAAGACACTTGTTGCAAAGACCATATTCTTGCACACGTTTTCTCTTCTCTGCATACTCCAGTTCTTTAAATGCATTACAATGCCACACTCCATGTGGTCCAGAACACATAATACATCTCTGGGTCGTTCTGAATGCCCAAATCGCTCGTCATCCTCCTTCTCGCCAGTCATAAAGGATCTGTGACTGTTGCCATTCTTCGTCTTGTTTCCTTTAGCCTCTTTCGTGTTCCCGATACTTTCGCCATATCGCTCCCAAATTCATTGTCCACCAACCATGCTCGTTCCTGGACAAACTTTACCAATTCTCCGTAAGATGGTCGCCGTCCTGATTCCATTAATTTTCCTGCTTGCTCCGTCCACTTGGCTCTGAGGAACATAGATAATTTCTTTACCAATTCTCTAAGAGTGCTCATATAGTTCAAGTCTGCTGTATATTCTGACCCCATTCCAATCAGCGTTCTTTCTGCTGTCGTTAGATGTCTCGCAAATTCCAATAACGATGGTCCGTCGACGGTTTTCAAGTCAGGCAATGTCATGAGCTTCTTTACATGAGCCTCTGCAATGATATGCAGTTTCCCAAAATTCAATTTCAATGTCTCCTTCGCTACCTTGTATCCATTCTCGAGATTAATACAGCTTTCAATCACCTCTCTTGCCTTCCCAACGCAGTGTTGTATTAACAACTGCAGCTTTCTTTCTTGGTCAGGATTATCCTTTTCTAGACAAACCTCAAAATTACGTATGAAGGTTACGTATCTCAACGGATCCCCATTGAACCTCAAATACTCGATCCTTGGAGAGTTAACCACATGTCGTAACGCCCCAACTATCTCCTGATGATACGACTGACTTGGTACAGGTTTCGTACCAGGTGTTTCTGCCAGATTTGGAATTATCTTTTGCTGGTCTGTTTGTTCTTTCTTAGGCAAAAGAGGGACATCCACTTCCGTTGTAGGTAGATGTTCATCCTCGAATTCTGAAGCGACCTGATAGGATACGATAGCTTTCTCGGCCTCCATTTGTGCTTCCATGAGCTCTCTTTTTCTTCTTAGTTCTTGCTCTTCCCTTTCTAAGGTTTGCCTTCTCTTTATTTGCTCTAGATTCAACTTAACCAACTCCATATGTTCTTTTTGTTTCGATTGTTAAGATAACCTTGAACTTGTCTTCCACAAGATTTGTCGCTACGAATTTTCAAAATATCCATCAAAGTTACTTCCGTCATACTGTGTGGTTGGGCACGCCATTCCGTTATAAGAGCATCCGACTCTAACTTTTGCCTTTTTTGTTCTTCGTATATCGAATCTGCAAGGTCTTGGTCACATTGTTTCTCCAACAACATACATGAATGTAGACAAAACACTTCCACTTCTTATCGAAAGTTTCCATTTCCGTTAAAACTTACTTCGTGTCATCACTACTTCCGGTTAATAAGCAATGAACTCGCTTGTACGCCCTTGATTATTTCTCTATCTCAACAGCACTCGCTTCGTAAAGTTCATGCAACTTATCTTGCAAATTCTCCGCCAAATTGAACTTTCTCGCCGTCCTGATTTCCATTTTTACCGTTCTTCGCCGCTTCGTCGCCCACAATTTCTAACAATTTTACTTTAGACTCCGTTGACATGCTTCTTTCCTCACCTCGCTAGTCAAATTACTTCATTAGTATTATTCCCGATTTAAGTTCTACCAATCGAACAAATAGTCGAAAACTGTTAAGGGCCTACGCTCCGTTATGTTCAATCGCCGCCATTCGACACACGCAAACACATACTTTCTTTATCTGATACGGTTTTCTATACAAATTTATATATATATATATATATACGTACACGTACACGTACACATATATATATATATATTTACAAACAAAACATGCCAAATATAAGTGTATAGTATCCTCTTACCGACTGTGTCCATCTACGTCTAAGTGGTCCAAATGTGAACTATAAATCAGGTTTTTCTCCTTCGCCCTTTAGTTTTGTTTTAACTAGATTTTGCCCTTCTTTTTCATGCATCTGTCCCCCCCGAAATCATTCCGGTACGTTCCGACGGTTCGCAAACTAACAATAAATATTAACTATTCGGAAGCTACAGTTAATATTTATTTTAAAGTTGTTAGATTTTCCTTGTTTAGTTAGCTATGCAATGTTAGTGTTGCAATGTTGTTGGTTTTAGCTGTTAATATTGATCTGTATTGAGCTGTTAATATTGATATAATATTGATATTTTTGAACATGTATGTGATTATATTGTTGAAATTACTGTATAAAAGTTGAAAATAGTACAAAAATAATAAATAAAATAATGTATAGTAATTGCTTGATATAAAATTCCACCCAAAAGTAATTGACATGAGTTTGAACGGTAAATCATATCGTCAACTGACATAATTGTACCAATACATCAATGCTAGTTTTCTAATCCAGAATGAGGTCATGAATCTCACAGTACATTAATTGCTTGTTATACAATACGTAAATCTCCACTGACAATGACATCAGCTGGTCATGGCGATGATTGCTTAATAATCTTGCTTAATAGTTGTTAGATAAATGCACAGCTGGCATATGCAGTGATAACTGATCCTTAGATGGAAATCTGTTATGCTAAGTCAGGAGAAGCTGTTAGTGTTGGTAATGTCGATCCAACTGGATAAGGCAGGAACTGTTAGTAAATTTAATGTCCAACTGGATAAGTTTGGAACTGTTAGTAAATTTAATCTCCAACTGGATAAGGTGGAAACTGTTAGCAAATGTAATCCCCAACTGGATAAGGCTGGAACAATTAGCAAAGTTAATCTCCAACTGGATAAAATGGAAACTGTTAGCAAATTTAATCTCCAACTGGGTAAGTCTGGAACTGTTAGCAAATTTAATGTCCAACTGGATAAGTCTGGAACTGTTAGCAAAGTTAATCTTCAACTGGATAAGGTGGAAACTGTTAGCAAATTTAATCCCCAACTGGATAAGGCTGGAACTATTAGCAAAGTTAATCTCCAACTGGATAACGAGAAAACTGTTAGCAAATTTAATCCCCAACTGGATAAGGCTGGAACTATTAGCAAAGTTAATCTCCAACTGGATAACATGGAAACTGTTAGCAAATGTAATCTCCATTGTACTGGATAAGGCTGGAACTATTAGCAAAGTTAATCTCCAACTGGATATTGGCAGGAACTGTGACAGACTGAACTAATGTTTCAATTCTTATATGTACAGGTTTTACTAACTATTTGAAAACCCCAAACTATATGCCTGATGTAGAAAAAAAGTGCTATTAATTATAGAGATACAATTGATTGGTATTATTGTAAAACTAGTTGAATTATTGCATGTTTAATAATTGCTAAAATCAATAGAATTGCTCCAATGAGTGTAACTCAGTTGAACTACTCTTGCATGGCCATAATTTATCTGATGCCATAAATGTCAAATTAAAGGAGACGAATTTGAAATGGTAAACTTTTGATATGCCTGTCAGTCAGCCATATACCAATTTTATTGTTAAATAAAATATGGAAATTTTTCATTAACTGAATAAAAAATATTTCCATGGATATATTAACAATTGTAATTTGATAGTATTCACTTCGCAATTTTCATGCTAAATATAAAATTGGGAGAATACACAAGGGCATTGCTTTCCCATAATGTAATAATTATTGGTTACAAAACATGTTTAGGTATGTTGACTACTTTTTGTGACTTGAGTTCTTTGAGCCAAATTCCTTCTAATATCATAATAAAACTGTAGCTACCATATGTTCATAGTATTTGAAATTTATAGTTGATGTATATTTCATTTCCGGTACACCGGTAAGGGACTGGCGATGAGTAAGTAAAATGAAAGTGAAAGAGAAAGGAACGAGATTAACAGTATTGGTGTACGTTAAATTGGTTAAATCATGTAAAAATATTGAGATTTAAGAGAATACGATCGAACAATCTGGTAAGTGTGTAACAATAAGGCTTTGTAGAATGTTTGTAGTGTATTTATAAATATTTGGTGTCGTTAATTTATAGTAATCTTCATTGTAAATGTTTATTTGATTAGTAAACCATTCATTCATATAAAGAAACAATGCGTTTACGAGTTCGATAACTGGGTAAATTGGAGTAGATATATTGTTCATGCGATAGAGGAATGTATTCAATGTGATAGGAGTCACATTCAAGTTTTCAGATTTCAAAATGGATTTATTGTGTTAACTGTTTAAAACTATATTGAAGGAGATTTATAATATGTCAATTCGCTCTTGGTCGGAAGTTCAGGGAACTTCAATTAAAGAAGAGTTGCCCCCAGGACCCGAGGAAGGAAATTATGCGTGTTCAGAGTATGGTATTTCTGGCATATCATTGGGGAGGAGACTGGGTAAAGGAAGTAGTTTAAAAACTGGTAATATGCGAAGGGATTTGGATGGGGACAAAGCGGAAAAACGGAGAACTCTGTATATGTACTGAACTGGTTATATCAGCAGTTTAACAATAATTCGAAGATAAGTAGAATTGCTTATAAACGAGTGTGGGGGATTGGTTGATATTGAAAGGAAATTGGCTTCGTATCATCAGGTATGGCGTGACTTTGTAAACACTGTAAATACATGCATTTGTTAGACAACGAGTTCGAGCGTAAACTTGCCTGTGATGTTTATGAAGTGCAAATGCATAAATCAGTTCAGTTTGAAGCTATGATGAAGTCGTGGAAGGATGAAATTAGTCCGGAAAAGGACGTTGGGCTCTCAGAGTGACGGTTGTTCCAAGTTGTCAACATTATCAAGAAAGAGAGAAAGATTGGCACAAGCTCAAATGAATGTAGAGCAAGTAGTAAAACAGCAAAAAATAGCGAAGAAAATGTTGGAGTTGCAAAATGAAAGCGAATTGTTGGAAGCACAGATAAAAAGAGAGGAAGCCATGGTAAGCCTCAACATTCTCGAAGAACAATCGGTAGAAGGTCGTGACTCACCCAATGTGTTCCGTCGGGAAATACAAAGTGCGGAATCAAAAGAAAGTGTATTAAAGTCAAGGGGTCAGAATCTTACATCTGAGGTGAAGCAGTCAAGTAGGAGTACTGCCGCTTTGGCATACTCAAATGCCCAAACGAACTCCTCGACCGTGTCATCTAAGAAAGATCCAATTCCGACGAAGCAAGACGAGTTAATCTCTCATAAGTCCAATTTATTCGTAACAGAAAGGGTGTCGGAAAACATTCCCAGGGTGAGCAACCAAACATATGCACAAGGAGAGCGCAGTAATAACATTCTACCATCAGTATCTTCTAGTGCAAATGTGGGTCAATCAAATATTTCCGCAGGGGGAAATTTGCCTCCGATTGTTACGCCTAAGATGAGTTCAAGGATGTATGACAGTGGCGGTTCAAGGTTACCAAATGGCGCTTACAGCAGGGACTGTGATCGTTATGAACCATGTCAAGCGAATGATAGTTTTGTGAACACCGGTATGAATCAGCAAGGACCGTTCGATCAGAATTCAGGCTCCCACTCTATATTGTGGAATCCAGGTTGGGGTACATCATTCGCCAATTTTCCGAGTCAGCAACCTGACCTACAGACAACTCATACAAGTATGGAGATAGTAAAGGCTTTAAAGCAAGTGGTAGCAACTCCCAAAATATATGGAGCGGTATTCGGTTCAAAAATATCAGTCGACTAGTTAACAGGTCGATGCGATCATTCAGGATTCGTTGTGTCTACTGTTGCGTTAGTATGCCTGAAGAGAATACGTTCTGCCTGTTTAACATCTGTATGAATACAATACGTTTCGGCTAAACAAGTTATGTTCTACCTGATCAAAAATGTTTCACCCGAAAGTTTTCTGTCGTACATGAAATGATGAAAAGTGCCCGAATAACGAATTGCAAATACTGTCAATGGTCCGAATGACGTTTGACATGCGGTGAAAGGGTAAAAAATAACACGACGTTGCGTCTGAAAATCTGACGAGGTACACATGTGGATATGATCGGATAATGGTCTGACACTGGGGTACACTCAGCAAAATTGAGGCTAAACTAGTGAAGTACACTTTAAATCAATGTTAAACCGCGCGAAACAGACAGCTCGTGTGCATGCTAATTTTCTGTTTGTCTTAAAATGGCGTCAACAGACAAGGAACAAACGACAACACAAACGACTAATTTCGATCATTCTTCTGGTTCCACTTTGTCCAGAGCAGTTAATTTACTAGAAAGGTCTGTCTCTATTTTAAAAGAGACTACAAAGAACGATCAAAATGCTTCTCTGGCTCCTCATTCAAGCTCGACCCGCTTAAATAGGGAAATGCTAAACTACAGGTACCGTATCTCGACGAAATTTTTAATATTTTGTATATTAATTTTTAATTAAATATATGTTTAAATTAATATTTTCGATTACCTAATTGACCTTTACTGGGGGGATTAATTTCTGGGTGGAGCATTGATTGGGGTGATGCTAGATTTAGTCGAATGCACATAAATCAATCCTACCTAGTTTTTAATGGATGAAAACATTTTGGTGCTTTGCTTGATAAGTATTTAAATGGTTTATTTTGCCACAAGTTGCATGTTTTTGTGATCATTTATAGTATAGACACAAAAGAATATTAGATTATGACTCACAGTACTCTTCCAATCCTCAATCACATAATTTGTTTCAGTAATTAAATAATAATAGGGCTCTGATAATTGTACACATCTTATTGCAAATAATTCATGCCCCCTTTGATCTTTTAAATTTCATAGGAGAATATTTCCAGGCCCCTAAGCGTGATCAACCTCTTTTTTTTCTTTTTTTTTTATTTTTTTGCCCAAATATTTACATTTTCACCATTAAAATATTTACAGTATAAGGCTAGGAACCTACTAGAAACCATATAGGCTTTTATTTAAGGTCCCTAGATAACAAAATTTAAACTAGTTATAATATAAAATTTAGTCAGTTCGACTTCAAGTATTTATGAGAAAGGAACAAAGGAAAAATAGTAAACTATGGTATAATAGTAAGCTATATAGTATATATGATTAATAGTACAAAATTTGTTGACAGATAATTATTTTTGCTGACAACAATCATAATAAGCAAAATACAGCAGCCAATTGTGTAGATTAGAGCATACTTTTCATGCATTTGTATTTAATTGCAGAAAGTACTTTTTCATTATTTTTTTGAAAGTACCGTACGATTTAATATTTTTATATTGCGTTGGTAGATTATTCCACACATCTATACCTTAATTAGAAAGAGTGTGTTTTGCATAATTTGTTCTGTTACAATTTTTGTGTAATAATGACGAGGTCCTTGTATTGTACTTATGGATTTCCTTATTATTCAGAAAGTAATTTGCAAATACCTCTGGCAAATTTTGTAAATGAAAATACCTAACCATGAATAAACTTGTCAAGTAATCATTTATTTTGTGGATATTGAGTGTTTGCAATTCATTAAAAATTGGTTCTGTGTGGTCAAAATATCCTTTAAATGTTATTAATCTTACAATTTTTTTTTGGATGTTCATTAACTTTTGTGTACGAGATTTGTACGTATTACCCCAAATGAGGTTACCATAAATTAGATATGGATAGACTAATGCATAATAAATGAGTTTTAAGGAATTAAGGTTTATAAAATGTCGAACTCTGGAAATTATTGCTGCACATTTAAGCAATTTTTTTTATATTAAGTCCACATGATCACACCATGTTTGAAATTCATCAAGACAATTCCTAAGAATGTGATTTTTTTGACTTGTTTAATGTTTTCATTATTTATGAAAATGTTTATAGCATGCTTAGGTTTTTTATTTTTTGATCTAAAAAGAATGAATTTGGTCTTTGTAGTATTTATTGAAAGTTTATTGACATTTAGCCAATCTGTAATTTTGTTCATTTCAATTTGAATAATTTCATTTAAAGTTTCAAGACAGGAATGACTAAATAATATGTTTGTGTCATCTGCAAATAATATAATTGAAATCAGTTCACTGCAATTTTGGATATCATTATATATAAAAGAAATAATAAAGGACCTAACACTGATCCCTGAGGTACACCACTTGTGATAGTCATTTCTTCTGACTGTATCCCATTATATTTTACAATTTGCTTTCTATTATATAGATAATTTTCAAACCATTTTTTGGCAACTCCCCTTATGCCATAGTGTTTGAGTTTGCTTATCAGAATCTTGTGATTAATTGTATCAAAAGCCTTTGACAAATCAAGGAAAATACCAACAGTGAATTTTCCTTGGTCAATAGCCTTGATAATTTTGTCAACGAAGTCAAGTATTGCTAGTTCTGTTGATCTGTTTTTTCTAAAACCGTACTGATGTTTTGATAAAATATTGTTCTTATCAATGTATTTTGTTATCTCTGAGTCATAAGCTTTTCTAGTAATTTTGAAAAACAGTTTAGTACAGATATTGGTCGATAATTTTCAAATTTTTTTCGTCATTACCTTTGAATATTGGTGTAACTATGGCGACCTTTAAGCTGTCTGGAATGGTTCCATCTGAAAATGTTAGGTTAAATATGTGCGCTAATGGCTTAGAAATTTCTTTAGCAATTATTTTGACAATTTTAGTACTAATACCATCATATCCAAAACTCTTATTTACCTTCAGGTTTTTCATTTCAGTTTCAAGCTCATGTTCTGTGATAGGACTGAGGAAGAGACTAGATTGATAACTACCTGAAAGATACTTATCAAAGCTATTATTTTCATTCTGTTTTATTTTCTTTGCTAAATTGGGTCCGATGTTAATAAAGTAGTCATTGAATTTGTTAGCTATCTCTTTTGGATCATCAATTATATTTGATGTGCAGGTTTCAACAAAACGTTTTGATATCATGGTATTTTGTTTAGGTTTATTAAGTACTTCATTAAGGATTTTCCACATTTTTTTTGAATTTTGTTTATGTTTTATTAACTCTTCTTCGTAATATGTCTTTTTTGCTATTTTTATGATATGATTTAGTTTATTTTTATATTTGTTGTATATTTGCTTATTTTTATCGTTTGGATTTATGAGAAAAGATTTATATAACTTATCCTTCTTTCTAACAGATTTTAATATACAGTTGGTTATCCATGGGTTTTTGTTTTTATTTATCTTTCCATTGTTTTTTCTTTTTTTTAATGGGAAATTTGCATCATATAATTCCATGAACAATTTTAAGAACTTATTATAGGCTATTTCTGGGTCGTTTGTTTCATTAATATTTCATTCCAGGAAATACCTTTAATAGCATCTGTAAACGTTTCTATGTTAGCTTTTTTGAATATTCTTTGATATGTAGTATTATTTACATTACCCCTATCATTGTTTTTGTCCAGTACACGTTGACTGTTAAACGTGTGTACTATAGGTAAGTGATCTGATATATCGCTGAAAATGATACCATTTGAGCTATTATCAAGTACTTCTATGTTATTCGTGAAGATGTTGTCAATTAATGTTGCAGTATGATAAGTAATCCTTGTAGGTTTAGTGATTAGAGGAAAAAATGATGAAGTGAATAATTGTTCAACAAATTGGTTTGCATAATCAAGATTCTGATTTAAAAAGGCCAATGTTAAAGTCTCCCATTAAATAACAAACTTTGTTTTCTTTGTCAATCTTTTCTAAAATTGTATTCAATGTGTTTTTAAACGTTTCAAAATTACTATTCGGAGGTCTATAGATTACTCCGATAATGAAACTTTTACCAAAAGTGTTCATTATTTCAGTGAACTTAGTTTCAATTATATTTTCTATATTTTTTGACAAGTCGTTTCGACTTTTGAACTCTAATTGTTTTAAAATATATAATCCGACTCCACCACCTTTTTTTGTTGGTCTGTTCGAACCTAGGTATTCATAATTTTCCAGGTTAAAACAATTCGCACTATTTTCATTTAACCATGTCTCAGTAAGTCCTATTACTTGAAAAGGTAAATTCAAAGTGTCAATCAGATTTTTTAAAGAATCAAATTTATTTGCTATACTCCTTATATTCAAATGTAACAGCGAGAATTTTTCTTGTCCGACAATATTTTTGGTTTGGTTTTTGAATTCACTTGGTAGATAATAATTGCACTTAATACTGTTTGTATTAAAAGATGTGTCAAGGTTTAAATTATTAGCGGAAAGCGCTATATTTGAATCGAACTGAAATGGATTAAATTTCATATGGCTCAGTCTATCCATATCACTTTGACTTAGCTTATTTGTAGCATTTAAAATTTCAAATTCATTGTTAGAAAGACTGTGAAATGCAAAATTATTTTGATCACACATCTCTTCTGTGGGTTGTTGTGTCATAGTGATTTATTTAAAAAGTGAAATACTAAGTAAGTTATTACGATATTAATCTAGTGATATTTTGAAATTCGATGCTAACGTTGTTCCCTAAAAAGCTGTCCATCAATGTAGAGTTTATCCCTTACCAATTTTGCGTTCTTGCCTGTTTCTCTAGCTTTTTTCAATTCTTGGTATAGACGTTTCCGAATCTAGACAATTTCTTGAGGGAACTGTTCGGAAACCCCAATATTTGTACCCTTGAGATTCTTCGCATTGGCCAATATGCGCACCTTGTCTGGAAAATAATTGAATTTCGCTACAATGGTACGTGGCTTCGTTGCACCTCGCTGCTTCTTTCCCATTCTATGCGCACGGTCAATCTTTATGGATTTCGCATCTTGGATTTTAAAATGAGATTCCAATAGACTGTGAACAATCTCAGTCGAGTTTTCTTCGTCATTTTCTTGCACGTTATAGAAAATCAAATTATCGCGCATTGACCTTGCTTGTAGGTCAATGACGCGATTATTTAAATCAGTGTTAATTTCTTCTAGCTTTCGTAGTCTTTGCTGCGTCTCATCGTCGCTCTTCTTACGCTTTTCATTTTCTTCCTTGAGCTCTCTAACTTCGGCATGGACAAACTCAAGTGAATGCTTCATTTCCTTCAATTCTTGCTCGACAGATTTCATGCGGCTGTCAGTAATGTCTAACTTGCCAAGCTTTGTCATTATCATTTCGAACATACTTGTTACTGACGATGTTTCTGTCGTTTTGTCTTCCTCCGTCATCTCTTTTGAGTCATTAGGTTTAGAAATTTTTGCTCGAACTGGCTTACTGGGCGTACTAGATATAGAATTATTTAATTTTTGCGCACCGCGCTTGGGAGTGTGCTGTCTATCCCCCATATTGCCTATATTGGCCTCTTCCATCTCTTCACCCCCCTCTACCTCTTCATCCCCTTCTACCTCTTCATCCCCCTCTATCTCTGGTGTAACATCAGCTTCACATTCATGGTCTGGAAACTACCAGAGCCAAAAGAGGCATATACAAACTACATTGCCAACTGGGTCAAGAAGAAAGGGAAGGGCACGTTTCCAACCATATAAAGTAAAGGAAACCTGGACCCATGACTTTTGTGTGTTGTAAAATCAAAATCAGCGCAAGGTTCCACCTGCATCTTATAAACAGGAGTTAAGAGAAGCTGGATTGGGGCAGAAGACAATTGTTTTCAAAAATAAAAGAGGCGACTTTAAGCATTTGCAAGAAGAGTTATTTTCAAACTATCCTCGATTGGAGGAGGGAGGTGGATTTGACTTATACAGACAATGTTCAGGAAAGGAATTAATCTTAGTGGTTACTCTATTCCATATTTAGTGGTTACTCTATTCCATATTTAAAAAATGATTATGGAATAAAGTCAGCTATAATATATGTTTTGCCTATTCAAAGAAATTTATCAATGGAGCCATTGGAAGATGAAGAAAATATAAATATGTATTAATTCTGCTTTATTTCATAAAATTAATATATATAATAATTTTCTTGTACGAATATACATTACTAATTGACAATTGTCCTTACCCCATGTTAATTAATGCAAAATAATCCTCAAATGAAATTATCCAATATGTTTTCACAGAAATCTTGACTATGTTTTCCAGTGATCTTTTCTTTCTCAAAAGGAATTATGATTTTTAAAGCAGTGAAACAAACAACCATGCAGAAGTATATGACCCAAAATAGTGTGCTATAGTTTAACCCAGATCAAGCTAGTTCTAATCAAGCCTTAAACAATTACCACAAATTGCAGTGATTTTCAACATAAAATTCTATTTATTGAATGAAGGTTGAGGATGAAAATGCTGAAAAGCAAGAATGTTACAGCTGTGGTGACAATATTCCTCTCTACAAATTACGTCAGCACATGACTATGTGCTCTGAAGATCAGTCTAAAAATGCTCAAGAGGTATTGCATATTGTAGACAGTTATCAGAATGTCAAGGCAAAATCTTAGAAGTTCATAGCTAACCAACAGGCTCTGATTGATTGTATTTTGAATGTCAAAAACCATCAATTTCAATATAATTTATACTGTAGATCAAATTTAATGATGAAGGAATCTCTACTGATGAACAATCCGATGAGGTGTTAGTTATTTAAACCCGGATCCTGCATCAGCATCTGCATCTACCTCTTCAGGTATAATGAATGTGTGTCATTTGGCTGTAATCATGTAATTCCTCATTAATAAATTGTCTTTAAAGTGTGACATAGGTTACATTCCCTTTGCAGCCATCCTGCTGTACTTCAATGCTAATAAACAGAAGGCATTATAATCATTAACAATTAATTATTATGTTGCCATATAAAACAAATACTGGTGCAGTAATGAATGCTTTCATTTCTGCAATGGAATGGCTGTCTCATTGATCTTTCAGTACTTTCACCACATGAAAATATTCATACTATTGCACTCATAAAGATCCATCATTGATGTGTCCTATATCTTCTTGCTCGAGTAATCAGCACCAATACTGTTAATTTGATACTGTTCTATTTGACCCTTTCTATAGAATGTCAAAATGATAAGACTGCTGCAATTTCACAACTTCAAGACATGTTTCCTGGAGAAAGCAACAATACCCTTCAGCAAACATTACAGTCAAGCATAAACATGGAAGATGCAGTAGACAAGCTGTTAAATTCAGGTAATCTCTAAAACATAGCTGATGTATCAAATTATTAATAACTTTTGACATACTAGTTTTATTTTACAGTTTTGATATTAATGAATGAATAAATGCACTTTATTTATTATTGAATTTAATCAGTGATGACATAACTTTTGTTTTATACATTTCAGAATTTTTATACATTTCTGACATTAGTGATGTTGATGAAATTTTGCCAAATCTTAACTCAATTTTGAAGGTCTTGGCACCAAAAAGTTTCATCAAAAAAAGGGTTTCGGTCAGGCGAGATCTTTTTACAGACAGTATTTGCATATTCAAGGCAGCCAATTTTAATTTTGATGAACCAATCAAGGTCAGGTTTGAGAATGAGCCAGGTATAGATGGAGGAGGACCAAGGAGAGAATACTTTTCCATGTTGTTGAAAGAATTAGTGTCACCTCAATTGCCAGTGTGTCTGTTTGAAGGAAATGAGAACAGGCTACTGCCAATGCACAATACAGATGCTCTCAAAGTAGCTGGTCAAATTATCACTTCCTCCATTATAAATGGTGCTCCTGGGTTTCCATGCCTTGCCCCAGCTGTCTATGCATATCTCATTAGTGGCTCAATGAATGAAGCTGTAGAAATGGCTACTGCTGATGATATACCTGATTTAGACATGCGCGAGGTATTAAGTAAGGTCAGTGTTCTGATTCGTTGTCTTCTGCATTTAAATAACACCATAAACCATTATGATTACCAATAAATTTACTTCTTCTATCTCATATTGTAGTTGGGTGAGATTGACAAATTTGATCATGTGCCAGAAGATGTATCATCTGCATTTATAGATGCGGGATTCACCAAGCGTCTTAACAGGGAGAACAAAGCAAATGGAATTATGTGCTTAATGTTCCACTGCATCATTGCCAGCAGAAAGGCAGAGCTTGATCAATTGTCCAAAGGATTGGTGGCATTTTGAAACAAGCTCGCAAGTACCCAGATCTTTGCAAACCTTTGTTAGTGTATGACGAGACAAACAGCAGGCTTAATCCAAAGAATTTTAAGTCGCTTCTCAACACTGATGGTTTGGAAGAGAAACTTAAAGAATTTTTCTTCCAGTATATTGACAGCAAAGGTATGAGAAATAAGTTATTAACCCATTGAACACCAGTGCTCTCCATTTGACAAATAAAATCGTCTGGTGTTAGAATAGGGCACATCAGGGTGCAATGACCAGAGGTGTAGCTAGGGCAGGGGCCTGAGGGCCTGGCCTCCTGGTACGATTTTGGGCCCCTGCTGAGGAAATTGATTCTAAAGAAGTAAACCCTTGTTATGTAGCTTCATTCTGTCAGTAATGCAAAAAGTCTGTAGGTGATTTGGCATGAGGAAATTGTCCATCATTAATGCCACAGAATCCTGCACAAAATATTTTGCACAAACTTTGTAACCAAAATCCTGGCTATGCCTCTGGCAATGACACTCGATAGGCAAAGGTTAAGCTACAATTATCTATCTTTTTATATCCCCTAAGAAAGTATGCCTTTGTAAATGAGACTACAGTCTCTGCTCATTCCTTTTGGAAAAATTAGTCTACCAATCATAGGTTAAATATTTGATTTTTTCTTTCACATAGATGAAGATGGTATTGTCAAGTTACTTAGCTTCTCCACTGGGCTTAGTTCAGTGCCTCCTCTGGGCTTAACATATCCAACCAAAATGTCTGTTAGTTCTATTGATAGCTCACTGCCCAACGCAAATACCTGTCCTATGGAACTAGAGCTTCCAGCTAGAATCTCAACTTTTGAAGAGTTCAGCCAACAAATGGACATGGCCATGGGAATGCAAACAACTGGTTTTGGAATACCTTAATAGTGATCAATAAAATAATTGCACTTGTATTTCACTCTTTCCTTAAAACATTGAGTTAGATTAGTTAATGTTGTTAAGTTATGTTGTTAAGTTATGCTATTAAGTAATGGTACAATTAATTGCGTCTTATTTGATATGGGCTAAAAGGCTTATGAATATGCAATGCTTTTGATATTATCTATTAGTATTTGAACTTGTTCTCATATTACCATCCATATTAAAACATGTTCTTTGAATCTCAGCATACTTTGTTTAACATTTTTTTAAACATTTTGGTGTTTACTTTAAGCAGTGAAACAAAACAGTAAGTAGTGAGTAACTTTAATTAACTTATGCCAGTGAAAACTCCAGGAAAATTTGAATGAGTTCATACCTCATAGGTAGCCTAGGTGAAACAACATTATTTAACGAATCAATTTAATTATCTCCTCTTTGGCTGTGTAAAATGACAAATGCAATAGTTGCTTGATATATATCAATGCCATACAGGTCGGAATGTCGAAGAGGATTAATTCCTGCCCTGAGTGCATTCATATACTCATCTGCCACTGGTGATTCGGTGACTGGTACCTCAACACAATTTCCATCAGAGGCAACAGGGAATGCACTATCCCAATCAACTCCGTACATCTGCCATCAAAATTTGAAAGAATAAATATTTATAAATAATAATAAATGTTTATAGTAGATCTCTGATAAAGTTATAACTATTATGATATGACCACATGAATAGGTACATTGATTGCTAAAGGCTCTTGTACAAACACTAATTTATTTCAAGGAGGGCAGATAACCTCTGGTTGAACACAATATGAATTTCACTTCCATTTGTTACATAAGAGAAAACATACTCCGCAGAAAATCAACAAACTCGAGATATGATGTGTTAAAAAGAATATTAAGGTGTTATTTTGACTCAAAGCTATTGTCAATCTGTTATTGTGGTTGTTATAATTAACTACGCCCCTTATAATTAATGTAAATAGAAGTAGAATATCACTCTTCTAATTTTGGCACAAAAGTTTAAAGGCTTTCAGAATATGCTGTGAGTATAATTTTCTACTTGCTATGCTTGAAATTTTTAAAAGATTGCATGAACAGTTTTTCATATTAACTAGTCACATTTGTGACAATTAATTAATAACTGACCAATCATGTGTGTTGTAAAAATTTTGTACTAAATG